TTTACACATGGCTGGTACATGGTCACTATCATCACAGTGTGCTCGTGGCAATGATATTGATGATTTTATTGCATTTTCTAAAACGTTTCTGAACGAGTTCGAAGTCTATGTTTTCTGGTTGTCCCCCCCTGGACTCTTCCAAATGTTACGTCTTCTTGTGTGATTTTCATACCAGTTGTTTGAAATCATGAAATTATTTTCTCTTTACCATTCTATGAGACGTTCGCCGCGTTCTTTCTCTTTACCCATTACCCACGTCCCAACTATATCGCGAGTGCTTTTACCCCCTATTTTCACATTTAAGTCCCCCTTGCCTTTTCGAAGTCTTAATGAATTTTATCTACTTCTTCATTGTTTTGCTTTGATGTTAGTGAATGTGTGGGTGGTTAGCGGGTGCTCTGGTGTGGTTTGCTTCTTCTTTCCTGTCAAACATCTATCGTCCTCAACTCCCCTTCTTCTTTTTTATGTTTGTTACTTTCTTGTAACAGTTCTAATCTTCTGGCGCTCATATGACCTTATGCAGTTCCGAGCGCCGTAAAACCTCTACAAAAACTTAACTGTTAGTGAATATACTTGGATGACACATTTGCAAACGGCTTTCCTTCAAAGTTAGCCCCTGTGACTCAGTCTGACACTCTCCAAAGAACATAATATGATGCTCTTTGCTGTTGCTTCATCAAATAAAATTCCCTCTCCTGGGGTTTTCCTCCTGAATATACCTAAATGTATTGGAACGTCTTTTAATCAAGCCTGACCCTCCCAGTTAGTGGCCAGTTTAAAAAATTATAAATGGCGGAGGGAACATTTTAATTGCAAAGTTAAATTGTTAGCATTATGCTGTCCCGTCGTTTTATGCAAGAAAAAAAATTGAAAATATGCAAACTGATCCCAAAGATGTGAAATTATGCGATTCTGTTAATTTTAACAAAGAATAATAAAGGATAATAATCAGAAATAAAGCACACAAAAAAGATAAAATTTTGCTAAATTGTGCGGGGTGCATAAAACCGCGGGGACAGATATTGTTATTCCTATTTTACATTTTGTCCTTTTAGCACGTCTTCTGGGAAATTGTATGTGCATGTATGTATGTGTGTGTGTGTGTGTGTGTGTGTGTGTGTGTGTGTGTGTGTGCGTGAGAGAGAGAGAGAGAGAGAGTTGGGGGGGGGGGGAAGGAGGGGGGAGGGAGTGAACAACCTTGCCTTATCCCAAACCAAATCAAAGTTATCACGTTGGTGGTAGGCGGGTGGTCTGATGTGGTTTGCTCCTTCTTTCCTCTCAAAAATAATATGTCGCTCTGATCACTCCTCTTTCTTTTCTTCGTATGATACTTTCTAGTAACACCGATAATCTTCTGCACTCTATGACCTATTTGTATTATTTGCCGTAAAAGTTTTATTTTGACGTTTCTAAAATACAAGACTCGAAACTCGAAGGATTTAATTTATAAAAAAATTAAATTCTAATACCCCCTCCCTCCCCCAGTGATGAAGTAACAACAGATGCGTCGTTGGTTATGGACTATTGAAAATGATCGTCTATTTTATGTTTCTTGTTACGTTGCAATATCCCTCCCAGCCTGACGTTGCCGCTAGCGTATCCGATCTCCCATTACCCGAAGGTAGCAATTAACTTATTCCAACTGCCTTCAGACTTTCTGCTAATGGCTTTTGTGAACATTCAGTAGCTAACATTAACGAGGGAGAGACCGGCTTCCGATTACCAAAAGTCAAAAGGCTGCTCCTTCCCTTCTCTGAAAATGATAAGAGTCGTTTTAGTACTGATTACGTCAGCGTTCTGGACTTTGGAGCGGATGTCGCTTGTTTGAATGCCCAACGGGTTGCTCTGAACTTGAGTAGTTTGGGAAGTGGGGGTGGAGGGGTTAAGGCTCTCCATCTATTTGGTTTGGTTCTACCGGGGATTGCAGATGGTTGGAGAGTTCTACTGGTAAGTCCTACATCTTTTTTTTCTCTCTTTTTGTTTCTGTCTGTCTATCTTGGGGGGGGGGGTTTCAGCTCGAAATGACCATTATTGTGTCGATGTGCTCCTCTTTACTCTATCAAAACAAACAAATTTTCGGAGATGGATGTGAAATTCGGAGGTCCCTCGTAGTGTTGACCGGAATGTTAAACTTATACACGGGGGCTTGGGAGGAAGGGGGGGGGGACTCTCGTGGCCTGGAGGTTAAGATGTTCGTCTCTCATTCAAAAGGTGTAGGTCCCGGGTTCGAATCCGGATAGTGACGGAAATTTCTTTTCTAAAATTGTGTCCTTTCACGTCATTTCCTGCACTCTGACAATGTTCTGTCGTCTGCTTTCGTTTCCACTTTCTGCCCCCACCCCCTCATTTCCTTTGTCCCCTCCCCTGGGCTCCTGACTCTTTCTGCAGCCTTTTTACTGCTACTCCTTGGCTCCTTCTTACTGCTGTCTTTCAGCCACTTCCCTGATCTTATGATAGGAAAGATCTACACCTAGCCTTCTCGGACAAGGGCGCAAAATCTCGGAGGTCCCGTGTGCAAGTTGCACACGTTAAAATCCCTTGGTGGTCTAAAATCGATAAGATCAAGAGTATGCTGCGGCCGCCAACCGGGCAAAGTTCAAAAACTTTTACCAACTGAAATTGTTTAATGTGTCCCGCGCGCTCATATGACCTTATGCCTTTGCGAGCGCCGTAAAACACTTACCCAAAAAAACAACAGCAACAAAAAACAAAAACACGGGGGCTCTCGGGATTTTGAAGTTACGGTGTTCGCCTCTCATTCAATAGGCGACGGAAAATTTTCTTGTCTAAAATGTTTCACCTTTCACCTTCTTTCGTGCTCTCTAGCCATGTTCTGTCGTCTGCTTTCGTCTCCACTTTCTGACTACTCCCCCCCCCCCCTTTGCCACCACCTATGGGCTACTGACTCTTTCTGCAGCTTTTCTACTGCTGCTCCTTGGCTCCTTCTTACTGCTGTCTTTCAGCCACCTCCTTGATCTTATGGTAGGTAAGTTATAACACCTGACCTTCTCGGATAAGAGCGAAAAGTCTCAGAGGTCCCGTGTGCACGCTGCGCTCATTAAAGATCCCATGGTGGTCTAAAGTCGATAAGAGTAGGCTTCGGCCGCCAGCCGGGCAAAATCCAAGATTTCCTACCAACTAAAAATGTTTGGTGTGTCTCGCGCGCTCATATAGTTGCGAGCGCCGTAACACACTAACAAAAAAATAAGAAAAACAAAAGATCCCTTGATGGTCCTTCCTAAAATCGGTAAGAGTAGGCTTCGGCCGCCGCCCGGGCAAAATTCTAAATTCTTATCAAACTAGAAATGTTTAATGTGCCCCGCGCGCTCATATGGCCTTACGCAGTTGCGAGTGCCGTAAAACATTTATCAAAACAAAACAAACGTATACGTGACCAGTGATGACTGCTACTGACCTCTCTAGTGGGGAAGAGGTATCTTACAAATGAAATACTTAACATCACAACATCTCGACAGAGAAGATTCCAGTTTTGGGACGATCCTTTCGGAGATGAACGTTATACTCGGAGGTGCCGCCTCTTAAATAACCTAATAGTATTGATAGGGGCGTTAAACCTGTTATACTATTTCACCATTTTCAACAGTTGTGAATTGTTGGTGGGTACTCTGGTGTGATAGTGTGCTCCTTCTTTTCTTACAAATATCTATCGTCGTTATCTCTCTTTCTTTTCTTTGTATGTTACTCCCCCATAACACCTTTAATCTTCTTCACAACTATAAATGTGTTATAAAGGTAAAACTCTTACTTAACGGATATATGGAGAGAGCTGCTAGACAGGGAACTGCGGCTTTTTCTTTCCTAATCCTTACTATCTTCATTTTCCTCTACTTCTTTTGTATGTTTGTCACCCTCTTGTGACCTTCTATTTCCGGGGTGTCTTGATAGTCGAAGCAGACTTTGTGCTGTTGAGGCTAGAGAGGTGAGCAGAGTAAGTCTGATTCCCTGTAAGGACTTTTCTGTTGACATCCACCCCTTGGCGCTCATATGACCTTATGCAGTTGCGAGCGCCGTAAAACCTCTACTAAAACGGAGCTGCTGGTAGGTCCTACCTTTTTTTTCTTTCCTTCTGTTTTTTCAGTCTGTCAGTCTTAATTAATTCAAATACCTCTTCCGTGCACTGTATGGTCGTAATTGTGTCGATGCGCTTCTCTTTACTCAAACTCAAATTAACTCTTACTAAAACTAAGCTAAAGAGTGGCGTCGGTGGTCTAGTGGTTAGGATACCGGACCCATAATCGTGAGATTGCGGGTTCGGGAGTTCGAGCGTCAGCTCGGGCCAATGTTGCGTCCCTGGGAAAGACACATTGCACGAATTTCCCGTTTGGCCTGGTTCTTTCGGAGATGGATGTTATACTTGGAGGTCCTGCCTCTTAAATAACCTAATAGTGTTGATAGGGACGTTAAACCTATACCATTTCACCGTTTTTTTCTGAACTGAAGACTTCATTTTCCGTACACAGTCCGTCAGTCTGTGTCGGTGCTGTTATGTCTTGCTTGTTGTGGGTTGTCTCTGCCAGGCAGGGTCTTTCAATCCGCCCCCGAAATGATCAAAGTTCAGCCGACTTCATAATGGATAGGTGACGTTTACCAAACACAAGACGCAACAAATGACACAACAGACCAATGACGTTCCCAAACAAAAGACGCAACAATCCACATAACAGACCCATGACGTAATGGATAGGTGACGTTACCAACAAAAAAAGCAACAAATGGCATAACAGACCCATGATGTATCAGATAAATGACATTACCAAACAAAAGACGCAATAAATGACGTAACAAACCCGTAAGGTAATGGACATGTGACATTACCAAACAAAAGACGCTACAAATGACATAACAGACCCATGACGTAATGGATAGGTAACGTTACCAAACAAAAGACGCAATAAATGGCATAACAGACCCGTGGTGTTACAAACAAATGTCGTAATGGATAGGCGGTGTAATGGATCAATGACGTATTATGTCCCCAGGAATGGGTGAAGAACTGGCTGTACACGCGGCGGGACAGTGTGGCGGGAAGTGACCAGGGCCTGGACTGGTTGCTCACTCTCTGGGCCTACCGAGATGCTGAGGTAGGTGTTGTTGGTGGTGGTGTTGTTGTTGTTATAGCTTTATTGCTGTTGTTGTTGTTGGTGGTGGTGTTGTTGTTGTTGTTGTTAAGTGACCATACCAGGATGATGAGGTCAGTGTTGTCCCTGTTGTTTCAGTTGTTTTTGTTGTTGTTATAGCTTTATTGCTGTTTTTGTTGTCATAGCTTTGTAGTTGTTGTTATTGTTGTTGTTGTTGTTGTTATAGCTTTATTGTTGTTGGTGGTGTTGATGATGTTGATGTTATTGTTGTTATAGCTTTGTTGTTGTTGGTGTTGGTATTGTTATAGTAGTTTAGTGACCAGGGGCTGGACTGTCTGCTCAAAGTCACCCCTTCGATCCCGCTCTGATCCGCACTGAAGGAGTTACATTCAGCTGAGATCCCGCTTTTCAGGTCATATTCAAGTTGTTTTGTTGTTGTTTTTTCGTTGCTTTTTTTTTTTCTTTTTAGAAAAAAAAACGACAACTGATGATTGGAGGACTGCTTTAAATGCCTGTTATTGTGTTGTGTTGATATGTTTTTCTTTGCACAAGTTCAAACGCTATTTTTTTTTTATCGCCTTCTGTGGTGTAATGGTTAGTCTCTTCACTGTAGCATGCAGAAGACGTGTGATAGATTAGCAATGGGGGTTTTTTCTGGGGTTTTTTTTAATACTCAATATCTCCACGGGTGGTTGGCGGGTGCTCTGGTGTGGTTTGCTCCTTCTTTCTTACCAAACATCTATCGTCCTTATCTCCCCTCTTTCTATTTTGTGTTTGTTACTCCCTTGTGACACCTCTAATCTTCGGCACTTATATGACCTTATTGTGTTGCAAGTGTCGCAAAACACTTACTAAAACTAAAACTCAATATTTCCGTCTCCTTGGATGTTGTATCCCACTCAGCCCGGGTAGTCCCAGTGGGTGGTTGTCGGGTGCTCTGGTGTGGCTTACTCCTTCTTTCCTATCAAACATCTATCGTCTTTATCTCTCCTCCTTTTTTTGTGTGTTTTACCCCCTTGTAACACCTATAATCTTCGGCTCTTATATGACCTTATTGTGTTGCAAGTGCCGTAAAACTCTTACAGAGTGTTTGTTGTTGTTTTGTATTTGGGCGGGGGGGGGTTGTGTTGTTGTCGTTTTTGGGGGTGGGTTTTTTGTGGGTATTTTAGTACACCTAGTGTTGTTTCAGTTGTACTGTGGGTGGTTGGCGGGTGCTCTGATGTGGTTTGCTCCTTCTTTCCTATCAGACATCTATCTTCCTTATCTCTCCTCCTTTTTTTGTGTGTATTTTACTCTCTTGTAACACTTACTAAAACTAAACTGAACTTCCCATTGTACATACAGGTCCGGGCGGCCGGTGTTGGGATCGCCGTGGCCTTGACCTCCTGTGAGGCCGGACGTCTGCTGGTGGCGGCCAACAGCAAGCATGTGCCGGGCGGGGTGTGGGCGGCGGCATTCAGCATTCTGCTCGACCCCTCGGAGTGTAGCATGGTGTGTCAGCAGGTGGGTTCATGGACGGGGATA